TTTTTCCCCGTAAAGAGAAAGGAAATAGCCTCAACCTCAGCGCGTCCTCAGAAACATTGGTTTGCTTGCTCCCCCAACAAGTATCGACGAATCCCTTGAGATGCTTGTAAGAATTTTGATTGGGAGCCCCGGTGAAGAATCCACGTTGCTCAAGTAGTGTAAGCATCACGTTGGTGATTTGGAAGTTGCCCGCCCTAATGCGGGGCAGGACTATAGCACTTGCATAACCCTCGTTCGGCAACACCCGGTGCGCTACCGCTCTTGGTGGAGGTGGGGGAGGGACGGGAATATTATCATTAGGAGGTCGGCCTCGCCTATTAACCTCATCTCCTTGATCATCGTCCACTTTCTCCCCCAATGATAAATTACCAATGGGCTCATTGTTGAGAGCCATTCTCGTACCTATAAGCAATTAAAAAACAAAATTACTGACTCGGAAGGAAAAGAAGATAAATCACACAAAAACCTAGATATATAGCTAAATTTGTTTAACTCCCCGACAACGGCGTCAAAAATTGATGTCGCCCAAACTCACACTACAAATATAGGTAGTGAGGCGATCAAAGTAATAATAAAACCCAACGCAAGTCGGGGTCGAATCGTTAGGGAGTTAGAACTGGGATTAGGTATATATTTAGTGTAATTGTACAATATACCTTAGATTACACTTCCACATTCTTGTTTGTTGTTTCTACTTCTACTTTAAACTATTGATTGCAATTATAAAACTAGAAGACAATATTTTTGGTTTTGGTTGTTTTTCAAATGATAAAAGATCTAGGGTCGTGACTTCCACCTAGGTAGTTACCTAATGTGTTGAAAACTCTAGGACAAGCATGATTGGTCGGGGTTGTAATATAGCAATCACACACAATTACCCACTATATACCTCTCGGTAGTTTGAGTGGTTTTGTCCAATTTGACTTTTTCAAGTTCAAATGGGTATTGCACAAAACAAGTGATAAATGCTCAAGTCGGGTCTTACTATCTCTAAATTCAACCCTTTAATTAGGGCTATCAATTTCTTGAATTCACCCCAATTTCTTGTTAGCTAAGTTTTCCTAGACTTAGTCTCTCTTTCTCAAGTAGAGACTAAGTCAATTAGGAATGAATCAATATTTGCAACAATTAATTTTTGAATTCAAGCAAGAACTAGGCTAAATATCACTAACTCAACCACAAACAAGTCCTAAATCAAACACCCATTAAGTACCCACACTAGGGTTGGGCCACAACTCTAGCTAGAAATTTAGCTACACATGAAAAATGAAGAAATACAAGAATTTAAGATAGAATGCATAATAATTGATTAGGGAAAGAAAATCTAATGTTTAGAAGCTAATCTAGTACAATATTACTCAAAACAGTAAAGATAAACGGCTCAGGTGCTCTCCCAAAATAAAACTTACCCTAAAAATGACAAAACGTTCTATTTATACTAAGCTGGAAATATCTGACAAAAATGCCCATGCGGAGGTTGTGCGGCTGCATAATTATGTGTGCGGTCTGCACAACGAGACTTGGCTTGACAGGTTCCAGTTTCGCGGCCGCACAATTCTGGATTGCAGCCGCACTCCTTCAACTACTGCGGATGCACATTTGTGAGTGCAGCCGCACTCTTGCTTCTGCGGCCACACAATTATACTGCGGTCCTCACTCCTTGATCTTAGGCTCTGGCTGTGTGAGACTTCTGCGGACCGCATAAAAATGAGTGCGGCCGCGCTCTTGATTATACGGCCGCATAAAAATGGTGCGGTTCGCATTTCTTCTTGAACTTGAAATCCATCTCTCAGATCTTTGTCTTCTGCGGCCGCACCAGAATTGTACAGTCTGCACTTTACATGTCGTTTCTTGTCAGAGGTTTCCTTAATTATTTACGGCCACACTCAATATTGTGTGGTCCGCACAGTGTTCTTTTAGCCTTGTATTTGTCCTTCTCCAATATTACTCCTTCTTGAGTTGATTTTCATTTCTTTAGCTCATATTCTAACACTCCTACAAACAAGCATATTTCGTTAGATTTCGGGAATACCTTTAAGCGATTTTGAGCTAAAACGCAAGTAAAAGAGTGCAAATAATAGTCAAAATCCCTACTTATTACCCGCTCCGTCAGATCGGGGGCAAAAATGGTTAGGTCCTGGCAACGACAGTCTTCCTTCACAACAGGAATGCTAGAAGGACAGATGGAAGAAGGATACCTACTAACGGGCCATGTACGAGAGCTACCAGAAGAAATTTCTCTTCGAAGTCTTTTGTTGTAACAAGACTTCTAGGGATAATGGTGCCCACTATTGGAGGAAAAGAGTCATCGATTTTGTTCTTGTTCTTTGAAGAAAAAGCCATTATATGGAAGAAGAAAAAGCTTTTTCATTTGAAGAGAGTTGGAGAAAGGTTGAAGAACAAGATGCAAGTCGAATAAAGAGAGTTTGGAGAGTTATGGAGTATGAATGAAAGAGGTTGATGCGTATAAGTAAAGGTTTAGGTGGCTAAATTTGTGGCCATGATTACCTCGATAACCGGTAAAAGTTATGCTGAATCGTGGGATGACGCGTGTTCCGGACATTAAATGTGGAGAGATGTGCGTCTAATCAACCGTCAGAAGCTTTTCAGGAGGAATCATAGTAATTCCCGTCAAAAAGAGTGCTTTTACCAACTTTCCGGTGACACAAAGTTATGTCACCGGAAAGCAGGGGGACTATCTGTATAAGGAAAAATGTGCTATGTTACGTGGCCATCCAAAAGAGGGACACGTAGAACCTAAGACGGGAGATAGCTAAAATCGAAGGCAATTTTCTCGTCTGTCACCGGAAAGAATAACGCTCGTAAAGATGCAATAAATACCCTCCGTCCGATAGCATTTAATAGAGAATATTTCACAGCATTTAGTGTGCTGCCCGTTACAGAGAATTTATGCTCAGCATTACACCTTCTTCAATAGCCCTCATAATTGACAATAAAGAAGGACATGAACCTAGGACCTTGTTCCCTAGGTGCATCTATAAATAGTGAGCTATGTTATCATTGTAAATGACAAGATTTTCCTGGCAAACTTACGCTATAATCAATAAAAAGCTTCATACAATTTTACTTTCTTGTTCCTTGGTTTCATCACTGTTGTGCCCGAAAACTCTACTCCTGAATCATTGTTCATCGTGATTTTATCTTCATTTCAAGGCTAAGTATTGTGCATTTCTTTAATTATTTTATTATTTTAGGACCAAATTAATTCACTTGTCTAGAAATCACGTATAAATTCAACTGTACTGTTGTACGGGTAATCAACTTTATAAAAGAAATTGTCCCAAAAAAAATTAGCCTTTGTTAAGATAGGGAGAACTAATGCATATATTCAAAAAAATAAGTATAATTTAGATGAAATTGTGCGTAATTGAGAGAGAGCTATTACACTATCCGACTATAAAGGAGGAGGGCAAAGAATTGATGGTAATTATATGATTTGATTATCGATTGACTTTTCATATTCTTTTTTGCCAAAAAAAAAACTCTTTCTCTTCCATTTATTTCCTCCTTTACACATCTCTCTTTCTCAATGTGAGTCTCTTGCCTGCTCTCATTCTACGTACTACTCCCTTCGTTTCAAATTAGATGAGATACTTTACTTTTTGGTCTCTTTCAAAATAAATAACATATTTTTAAATTTGGAAATAATTCAACTTTAAACTCTTCATTTTACTCATTTTACCATTAATGAGAAGTTTTTATAACCACACAAATGTCATGACCCCACAAAACTTTTACCCCTTAAGCTTTTAAGACCACAAGTTTCAAAAAAAAAAAAAAATTCTTAAACTTCGTGTCGAGTGAATCTATCTCATCTAAATTGAAACAGAGGGAGTAATACTTTGCAACTCTTTATATTTTCCTTCATCCCTTTTCCTTATTGCATATGCAGAACAGAGCCAGCACAAGCACCACAAAATACTCGTAAGCTCTTTAACCTAAGGCATTCGAAACTTTGAAACGTGGTGGAGAGGACATTTGATGTTTTGGGAAAAAGATTCCATTATTATTCAATACATATTTTAAAAAAATATATGTATTTTAAATACCTATATATATTCCCATCGGAGAAAATGGTTCAACATAACCTTTTACAATTTGAATAAAAAAAAATGATTCTACAAAAATCTTATGTGTCTTATTTTCAGATCTCTTACGTGTAAAAATAAGGATTTCAGAACTATTTGACATAGAACAAAAAGAGAAACTTGCAATGGGCCACACAAAAAATTTGACTCTGTATTTGTCACACGCTAAAGCTTATTTACATGTTCGTCTGAAAAAAGTTCTCAAAATTTCTGCTAATTAGCTTTTATTAAAAAAAAAAATCAAACTATATAAATACACTTGTTCAACCGAATATGGCACTGGAAATTACACTATAATTACATTATATCTGACAAGAAGATCATTGTAATCCAAACAGGACCTTAGATTTCTCTCCATTTCTAGTTCCAGAACAACATTAACTATTTTACTATTTCAGCTTAGTTTAGCTTTACCTCTGTACAGCCATTTGCCTTTCCACATTCGTTTAGTTTAACTTGACGTTTTGCTTTCAATTTCTTTGGTTATCATTTTCTTTTTAAGACAAGTAAAATCAAATTCACAAGCTTACAAACAAGAAGACTGATAAGTACTCTAGTCTACCGAAGAAAGTTGAAATGAAAAAAGGGAAGTTAAGAATGAAGAGAGAATTCCCTTGTCTCAGAGCGATTTCTTGGCAAAGGCTACCTGAAAAGGTAAGCACTATAAGGAAACTTGAACAAGAAAAGTACATTAGAGCAATTTTTTATTTTTTATTTTTTGGCAAAACGGGATTTTTTTAATTATTTTACTAGTATTTGTTTTGTGTTGCTTGGACCAAACAACTGCTTTAACCTATCAATACTAGTGTATGTACAGGTTCTTGGTGGGGCAACAATCATACTGTTGGTACAAAAACTCTAACATCCAACACCTATAACTGTGTTCTTGCAGAGGTCATATATAGCTTCAAGTTGATTGCCACACTTAGGCATACATCTTATCTTGAGTTCCTAATCCTTCACTTTTACATTGGAATTGTCTGGTTTATGTCCAGACATAGATGCTTAGAAGAATTACTAGTAGTAACAAATTAGTAATAAGAGTGATTCAGGCTATATCTGTTGACATAAAATTGTCAAAGAGAATATCAAGCAAGTCTGTTCTCACTAACAAAAATTTCATAGACAATCAGGCATTTACAAATTTGTTCACCCCAAAGATTGGATCTTTTAGTATTGTGTTTCAGCGATTGGCACATACACGTTCAAAAATGACAGCAACTAATACTCATGGATGGTTGGCTGTTGCAAATGACAATCTGGAGAAGAGAGCAGACTCCACTTCTAATTTCTGCAGGGAATTTCAAACGTTAGAGCACATAGATTAATTTCATACAAACTTAGATTAAAAGGTCAAGATGAACTCTATGATTTAAGAGTAAAACCACATATATCAAGTCACTTGTCCGAAGGTATCTAAAGTTATCAAGGTCTAGCTAGACAAATGTTAGAAATATGCTTTAAAAGCTGCTCTCAGTAAAATTATTTTACTGTTTCAGCTTAAGAGTTATTTACTGCAGTAATTTAGTTTGAATTTGAAATAATTTTGAACTAGTCTTTAGGAGTGAACTAGTCTCTAGGAGTTTGTTACTTTCAGCAGATTGTGTTGATTTTTAGGTCTTTTAAGTTAGTATTTCTCTTATAAATTGTAGTTCAAATGCAGTAAAATAATATAGAATTTCCAGCTTCATTTCTTTAGAGTTCCTTTTACATCTATTCCAGTATATTCCTTTTATTTTCCTGTCATTTTCCCCTGTTATTTCCCTTAGTTTCTTTTATCAAAAACCAACAACAAAGCATGTTGAAAACTTGAACCATGTTATCACTGAAACAAAATTTCAAGGAGTTCAAATCAGGAAAAGGCAAGCATAAAAATTTGAGCGATCAGTCTTGCTATTCGGCCAAGGAAAATTAGGCTATCATAATTCAAGCTGGTGCCAATTTTTGGATATGAATGGAAAAGCAAAATTCAGATATGAATTGCATCCACATGTAATGCAGGAAAGAACTTTATTTTTAAGAAGATACACTCCATTAATTGGTCCCCTCTTTTTGCAAATGGCAATATGATACTCCTTAACTAATTGGATCACCAAGTCTAAGACTACGTCATATTATCCTTTATTTGCCTTGCCTGAGTTAACAGGTGTGGGTCCTTCATGAACTCACACCCGTACTTGACATGTATCGGTAAGCAAGTGTGTGACCGTGAAATAAATAGTAAGGGAGCATAAACGTATCATATACTTTCAGTTTTGTTCATCATATAGAACAACCATTCTGGTTTGCACCAGTAATAAGATGAAATATGTAAAATTGGCACATCACTCTAATAATCATGTCTACTTAATATTGCTATAGAGAACAAAACATGGTTACTTCACAGTTTAATGTCAAAATCAAACTTACCATGCTATACTGTCCCAATGAAGAAAACCGCCGTGCCCTCTAGCATTCGAGAAGTTGTAATCAGGTCCAGAAACTGGGCACATAAAGAAGTGATAGATGCATTAGAAGAAAAAAAAAACTACAAAACAAAGAGCCATTTGAGTCATAGGTGAAAGTTCCAAGCAAAGGCAGCAAAATACCTTCATAACCCCCAAAAACTGGATCCTCTGCCAACAAAAGGGGTGTGTCTAGGTCAACAAATCTGTGGGAATTAAAGTACTAAATTAGAGACTATGCGTTTGAATTGCATAACCAAGTGAATACCAATCAAAATGGAAAACAATATAACCATGATTAGGCGTAGTGTTTGCCTGAACGTAACATGGACATACTGATCTCAACTTTAATGAAAATACTCTCACAGAATTGATCGAGTGATAGAATAGTCCAAATTGTTCAACCCCAGGATTTGATTAATACCATGTTGAGTTTGGGTGATACAGACAAGGTGAGGAGAGCGGAAGTAATACTATTTTTCCCAGCATGATGGATTTATTATGATTTTGATAAAAGCAGGTTATTTTTCCAGAGAAATTTCAACAGAAGCTTACTTGAAACATCCAAGTCCAGCAGCTAGATGACCAGCAAAGCCCATGGCAAGTCTGGTTTCAACCATACCACCAATCATCAAATTTAAGCCCACGGATCTCGCCAAGTCAATAATTTCGAGAGCCCCAAGCACCCCCACTTTGGCAAGCTTAATATTAATGACATCAGCAAGACTTTCTTGCACTATCTTTTTAGCATCAGCCAAACTTCGACAGCTTTCATCAGCAGCAACAGATACCCCATATTTATCCTTTGCAATCTGACTAACATGTCCAAGACCTTCCCAATTGTCTCTATGAACAGGTTGTTCAAAGAGCACCGGTGTCACCTCCATTTCTGATAGGAAACCAGAGATTAGTGATTTTCTCTTTAGTGCAGATAATAATGTTTCGGAGCAACTGAAAGAGACTAATCTAGCATGAAGATATGTCTAGCATATCAGAGGGAAGAAATATGAGATTTATAAATTCTGTATTATTCCTCTGTTGATACAGATAAGGGGAAATTTGATCTAGATTATTAATACTTAAATAAAAAGAGTACTCTACCATACAACTTTTCCAGGACTTTAATAGCTTCTTGTGCGGTGTAACCTTCATTAGCATCCAAGATAAACAAGCAATCAGGATGTGCTGCACGTATGGATTGAAGAACTTCAATGTCTCCGTTCAAATTCTTGCCCACCTTAAGCTTTAAGGTCTTGAAACCTTGTTTACGATACTTTGAAGCCAGTTCAAAAGCTTCCATGGGTGAAACTATCGGAATCTACAATAAGTTGGTCACTGAGATCAATTTAAATACGTCTATGGCAGTTCTTAATTTCTACTATAATTTTCTTCAGTAAGAATTTCTTGCTAAATATGGTTTCTAGTTAGCATATGTTTGATGGCATTGTTGTAACTTGAGAGCAATGTTTGAGGCAGCAAGTACTTGGAAAGCAACAGAGGTGGAAATTTACTGTGAATTGTCAACTAAAGCAGAATAAGAAAGGAAAAGCCTTAACTGTAATGTCAGTAGATATTGAATTAGATACTCCACCAAATAGTCTCCATAAAGGTATTCCAATGCTGTTCGCCGCTGCATCAATCAGTGCCATCTCAACTCCTGCCCTGACCTTCAATCAAGTTATCATTTGAATCAGTATCACACAAGTTTTCAGTTTACAAAGATGAATTTGAAAGATAAGAATCCACATATTTAAAAGTATATAAAGACTCAAGGTAGCTCGTCTAGTCATCCTGTGGAAACCATGATGTCCAAGCTGGAGGCACCAGGCTATTGTAAACACACAAGTACATGTTCGGTCCAGTGTATTAAGAAAGATCCATCACAATATGAAAAGATAACTAGTGTAGAAAGGGTTCTGCCACATGACGTCGCCAAAGGCCAAAAAAAGATCCTGACTGAAGGTAAGCCAAAAGAATGATGCGAGAATCAGCTACATATCAGAAACTTGCAAACTTCGAATCAGCTATACAACGTCTTTAAGTAAAAATCTCAGACTAGGAAGAAACATGCATGCTAGTTGTGTATGTCCTTTCGGAGGATAACTGTCTCTCAATTCCCTTTCCGTTTCCAGTTTCGCCAAGTCAGAATTCTACGCCTTCCCTGCCCTACCCCCTAAACTCTGAAACCAACTGCGAATGTATATAAGCTGGAAAAAAGGTCTATTGAATTGTTACAGTAACAAAGGCAGCCCTCCACTCGATAGCCATTGTATTAAAGAAGATAAATTAACTCCATTTTCAGCAATCTTATATGTCACTTAGACCAAGAGAAAATAACATAAAAACAGATAAGCCAAAGGCGGATCTAGGATATAAATTTTAGGGGTTCGGTTTTTAGTTCTTACTATTGCACCCATTACACTTTTGGAATTATAAGTTCAAAATTAATTTTTTTAAATAGTAACTTTCATAGATATATATTTATACTCTATTTCGAAAACGTTAGGGATTAGTTGATCTCATTGACTATATGTTACATCATCCACTGCTACTAGTTTTAATATACACATTTCGTTTAATCAAATTAAGATATTACGGTGACAAAAGAAGAATAGGAATTACAATGTGTGAAAATTTTGAATAAATAAACCAAACAAAGAAAGAAAAGAAAGTACTTAATTAATACCGGGTATGTTGTTGTAATACACAAAAAGTGATGTCAGACATGCCCATCTCCCCTGGGGCCTAGTTCTAGAAAATGAATAGGAAAAAAACAACAAAATTGACATAAGGTTGAACTCACAATCTCACCTAGAGAGGTGCACCCAATAATCATCTCATGATATGATACTTTGAGATAGGGTGCACACACATAAATTTAAGCATTTTTAAGAAAATATAACATTAGTATACACATCTACGAAGGGGAGCGTGGGTCCCATGGAACCCCCCTAGATACGCCAATAAGCCTATAACATTCAATGTTATGTTGACCTTTGAGTTTCAATCCTGAGAACCAATTCCATGATAAACTTAAAATGGTAAAGTAAAAGAATTTCATAGTTCTGTTTAAGATAACAAACTAACATCAAAGTTAAAGAACTGCTTGTGTCAGAGAAAATAGTGTGTAAAATTTTCAGTTATCGCACTGCTAGTCAGAAAAAAACAACTCCAGTTCCCTATGGAACATAGTAAACAACTGACACAAAACTAAATTAGTACTACCTACTAGATTGAACAAAAAAAGGAGGACCATAGACCCAAAGCCAAAACGAAAAAAAATCAAACACTGTATCAATATTAGAACAAACACTAAACGGAGTTAAACACTAAACCCCATAAAGGAAGAAAAAAACACTTTATTGCACAATCCATAATGACAAAGTAAAAGAAACTACTGGTATAACTCACAGAAGCAAAATCATGGCCAGGGAGCACATCTCCAATTTTTGTTAGTGCAAGATTTAAAGTCATTTCAGGACTCTGCCTCAAAAACTCACAAGCTTCAGCTGCTTTAGCTAAGGCTGTGGGCTGATCCTCTGCAGTTACAAAAGGAAGAATAGGAGCCTCACCCCACCCAACACAACCATTACTCAACTCTATCCTTATAGCTACGTTTTCCACTTTGTCCAATCTTGATGAGGCGATTGTAAAAGGAGCAATCAGTGGCACATTCAGTGGTCTTCCTTCCGCTTTGTGAACATCAATAGTCACTGTTTCCATCAAATTCTTGAACCCAAAATTTGTGGGTGTCAACGTTGGCATAGCTGCAGCCATGCAAGCAGAGATGGTTTTTTTGGGATTCTTGAAATTGAGTGAAAAGATTGGAGTTTTGGACAATTGGGTATATACTGATGTAGAGGAGTGACGAAAGCTATGGGATTGGAAGTTTTGAGAAAGCCTAATTCGACCCATTTCCTATGAAGATCAGTGATACTGAGTTTGAGTGTTTCTGATTGGTCTTTATTGGGCAGAAAAGGAAAGATTTCAAGAATTGACATAGTGAGTTTAGTAATTTGTTCTTGTAGTTGTCTCCCCAGCTGACTGTGAGTGAAAGGGTGGTGGGTTTATTTTATTTGGAAAATGTCAGTTCTTTAATCCTCTATTGCAAGGTCGGATCTATTCTATGTTGGGAGAAATTCTTGGACTTCCTTTTGTCGTATATTTCTTGTTTTGTTATATTGGGGTTGGTGGAGAAAACCGGCTTGCCTTTTGAAAACTGGTGTCTTTGTATGAAACAACAAACAAACACAAACCAAATTTAATTACACAAATGGGTCCGGAGATGATGGTGACAATTTTCTGGAAAAAAAATAGTGTCTTTGTATGTCTTACTAATATTTTGACTAGTATATACATTAAAATCAAATAATTGAGGTGTTAGATCGAATGGTCGAAATTCATTCACTTTTAATCCGAGGTGTGGGACTAAAAGTTGGAATTTGGACTTTTGATGTATAAAAGTTGGAATTTATTTTTATGAACCCTATCTAGGGACTATCGGAATTGAACCGCCTTTCTAGATCCGAGTATACTCTACACAAATCATAATGAGTACATTACAAGTATAAGGAACTTAACTCCCATAAGGTCTATATTTATTCGTTATAGCTGGTAAGCTATGTTATTTTCAAGATTATAAATTATACCTTAGTCAATTATAATTAGCCACATTAATAAAATTAGAATTAAAAAAAAACATGCTGACAATAATGTCTACTCCCACATCAATGACAAAGCTAAGATCCAATGACAAGCAAGTAAACATAGTAGTCTTCTGGTTTCTATGGGGAATTTTTAATTCATGAAAACTTGACAGCTAGCAATGTTTATTATTCTTTGTTGATTCCCCAATAATATTTTCTCAAAATAGATCAGCCATCATTTTTAGCAAGATTTAATAATGCTCACATGAAAGTAGTCCAACGTGATACTCAGCAGTAGTTAGTAGCATATTATATATAGGATGTCTCTTGGATGCTTCCTAGGGTTATTTCCTAGCAACTACTTAATACAGTTCATATCCCTATTTGATCTCCAAAGGGTGAATTTAGTGGCAGTCCATTGGTGCTTTCTTACTAAGCATTTTCTAAGTTCTTGTCTTTATTGAAAAGCATAAAAGTTTAAACTTTTCTACAACAAGAAAATTCAATTCCAAATATTATGATTTTTGCTACTCCGTACATCAAAGACATAGTCCACATCTCGTCCTTACTAGTGTATGCACTCTTTTGTTAAATTATCAAAATCTAGAAAGGCTCAGGCAACTTCTTGGCGAACAAAAGCAGCAATCTTTGCTGCAACTATATGATATGTTTAGTAGAAAATGTTAAAAACTTCAAGTACTCAAATTAATATTTGAGTGGGACAGGCTTATATGAAACAACATGTTTGGGATTTTAAGCTTGTGTAGCTTAAAGGGGTGAATGAGAAATGGAGGAAAAATAAAATATTTGAGTTTCCCTCCTTGGCAAAGGGACATTGTCTCATATTGGAGGAAGAAAAGGCTTTTGATGGGTATATATATAACTGCTCTTCTTCTAGTTCTTAAAGAGTTAAGAAGAAGGCAAGCCTCACGCCGTCGTCGTCGCTCACTCGGCTCGGATTCGGATTCGGTCAAAGATTGATTGATTAATCTTTTTGGACAAACTTCCTTTCAATTATTTAATTAATTAATTAAATAATTAACGAAAAATTTAATAAAGGTTGCAAACCTTTTCAAAAACAATGCCAGCAACTCTATAAATATACTTTGAATCTCATTCCAGCACCTCGGGTACTTGAGGGGAATAATTTCCTTAAGGACATACTGTGTATTCAGTGGGCTCGATTTATTCCTATACTATTTTTCCAGAATTTATTTCGTTAAACAAGTATTACTAACTTTCTGTTTTGTTTATATATTTTAGAAAGTTTAATGGTTTAATTGTTTATTACAGCAATACAGATTTATAACAATCTTAAGAAAATTATTTTATTATATTCTATATTTTGTTTGTGGAGATTAAAACTTGTGTGGTTTTTTACTCCTTCTAAATTTTACTATTCTGATTTGAAGATATAAAAACTTCATCAGAGTATTGAAATTCAGAAAACGATTTGAATAACATAAAAACTTCATCGTTTTCTGTGAAACAGTATATAAAATATTGATTTTATTTATTATACATATTGTTTGTTGTTAATAACAGTATTATTTATTGTTCTGGTTTTGCCATTAATTGAACTCTTCTGACGTTTACAGTGAGAAATGGCAATTGATAACGAAAATTCTTCTCCGACTGTTACGGCAACGACGATAGCTTCGTCAAGCCGAACTGCTGTTCCACCGGGAGAGAAACCGGGAAAATTTTCCGGAGCCAACTTCAAAGGATGGCAGCAAAGAGTGTTCTTCTGGCTTACCACACTTGGTATGCAGAAATTCACTAGTGAAGAACCTCCAGTGCCTGCTGCGGACATGCCGGACAACGAGAAATTCATGATTGTTGAGGCGTGGAAGCATGCAGATTTTTTTTTGCAAAGGCTATATCTTAAGCGCTTTAGAGGATGACTTGTACAATGAGTACAGTGTGATGAATACTTCAAAAGAATTATGGGACGCACTTGAGAAGAAGTACCAGACTGAAGATGCATGCTTGAAGAAGTTCGTGGTTGCCAAGTTTCTAGACTATAAAATAATAGACAGCAAAACTGTTGGAACCCAAGTTCAAGAGCTTCAACTTATTTTTCATGACCTTATTGCTAAAGGTATGGTCGTGAATGAAGCATCTCAAGTGGATGCAATGATTGAAAAATTGCCTCTTTTGTGGAGAGATTTCAAGAACTATCTTAAGCACAAGCACAAAGAAATGAAGTTGAAAGATCTTGTGATTCGTCTCAGGATTGAGGAAGACAACAAAACAACCGAGAAGAAGTCTCGTGGAAATTCAACGATCATGGGAGCTAATATTGTTGAGGAGACTACTCCAAAAAGTAAGAAGAGAAAGAGGTCTTCTGGACAGACTAAGAAGCAGAACAAAAAGAAATTCAAGGGCAGCTGCTACAATTGTGGAAAAACCGATCAAAAAGCCCCTGATTGTCGTCTTCCGAAAAAGGATAAGAAGAAGGGATAGGACAACATGGTGGAGAAGAATGATGATATTGATGATCAGTGTGCAATGCTTTCGGAATGTAACCTAGTTGGAAATCTGAAGGAGTGGTGGATTGACTCTGTAGCCACTCGACATGTTTGTATTTTCAAGGAAGCATTTGCGACTTACTCTACTGCTGGTCCCGAAGAAGAGCTTTTCATGGGAAATACTGCAACAGCCAAGATTGAAGGTTATGGAAAGATATTCCCGAAGATGACTTCCGACAAGGTATATTCCTGAAGATGACTTCTGGCAAGATGTTAACGCTCAACAACGTTCTTCATGTTCCTACTATTAGGAAGAATTTAGTTTCTACTTCTTTACTTGTTAAGAATGGATTCAAATGTGCATTTGTTTCTGATAAAGTTGTTGTAAGCAAGAATAAAATGTATGTTAGAAAGGGCTACCTCACAGAGGGCCTCTTCAAACTAAATGTAATGGTTGTTGACAGTATGAATAAAATTTCAGCTTCTTCTAATTTATTGGAGTCAAATGATTTATGGCTTATTCGTTTAAGACATGTCAATTACAAAACCTTGCGAAAGCTAATTAATTTAGAAGTATTGCCTAAATTCGAGTGTAATAAATCAAAATGTCAAATATGTGTTGAGTCTAAGTTTGTAAAACATCCTTATAAGTCTATTGAAAGGAATTCAAATCCTTTAGACTTAATTCACACTGACATTTGTGATATGAAGTCGACACCATCTCGAGGTGGTAAAAAGTATTTTATTACTTTTATTGACGATTGCACTCGATATTGTTATGTTTATTTGCTTAATAGTAAGGATGAAGCAATTGAAACATCTAAGCAATAAAAGAATGAAGTGGAGAATCAATTAAATAAAAAGATCAAAACGATTAGAAGTGATAAGGGTGGAGAATATGAATCTCCGTTTGCAGAAATATGTTCGGAATATGAAATTATCCATCAAACTACTGCACCTTACACACCTCAATCCAATGGAATTGCGGAAAGGAAAAATCGGACATTAAAGGAAATGATGAATTCTTTATTAATAAGTTCCGGATTACCGCAGAGTTTGTGGGGCGAAGCTATCCTTACAGCTAACCGAATACTCAACAGAGTACCCCACAGCAAAACGCAATCTATTCCATATGAAAAATGGAAAGGAAGAAAATCCAACTTGAAATATTTCAAAGCGTGGGGGTGTCTAGCAAAGGTACAAGTTCTTTTACCTAAAAGAGTTAAAATCGGACCAAAAACTATTGATTGCGTTTTCATTGGATATGCTACAAACAGTAAAGCATGTCGGTTTTTGGTTCAAAAATCTGATAATCCCGAAATTCACGTTAATACGGTAATGGAATCAGATAATGCTAAATTCTTTGAAAGCATCTATCCCTATAAAACTGAATGTGAGTCGTTAAGTGAAAGACCTAAACGACTTCGGGAAGAACCAAAGGAAAATACTCCAAGTATAGAAGATCCAAGGCGTAGCAAACGTCAAAGAACATCTACTTCCTTTGGACCAGATTTTGTGACATTCTTGCTTGAAAATGAGCCTCAAACTTTTAAAGCAGCTATGTCATCTTCTGATTCAGCGTTTTGGAAAGAGGCAGTCAATAGTGAGATTCAATCAATTTTGGATAACCATACGTGGGAATTGGTAGATCTTCCTCCAGGAAATAAGCCTTTAGGTTCGAAATAGATCTTTAAACGGAAAGTGAAAGCTGATGGCACTATTGACAAATATATGACAAGACTTGTTGTCAAAGGTTATAGACAAAATGAAGGCCTTGATTACTTTGACACTTTCCTGCCAGTAACGAGGATAATATCTATTAGGGTGTTAGTAGCACTAGCGGCCGTGTATGGTCTTGAAATCCATCAAATGGATGTTAAAACAACTTTCTTAAATGGAGAATTAGAGGAAGAGATTTACATGGAACAACCTGAGGGTTTTGTGATAACTGGTAAAGAAAAGAAAGTGTGCAAACTTGTTAAGTCACTTTATGGACTTAAACAAGCACCCAAACAATGGCATGCCAAATTTGACCA